CAGTGCCCCGACCCTGCCTGCCTGCTCCGGGAGCCCAGGACCCCCAGAACCACGCAGTGTCAGCCGGTGGCCAGGAGCAAGCGGGACCCAAGCGAGGCCGGTTCTCCAGCCGGGCAGGGAGGCTCAGCGGTCCCTGGAGGCGGTCGGAGCCGGGACCCGTCACCGCCAAGGAGGAGGAGGAGGAGGAGGAAGAGGAGGCGCACCGGGTCAGTCCTCCTCCGGACCTGCGCTTCTCAGGTCTCGGGAGCTTTTCTGTTCGCTTTCCCCACACTTCGGGTCTCACTCGGCGGGACGCACGTTACTTCTTTTCAAGGGTAGCAGGGGCTAAAGCCCGAGATCCCGTCGCCTCCGGTCTGGGCGGGACCCTGCCGATCCGAGGCCTGCTGGGGTGCCAGCGCATTCACGTTTGCCTGGCACTGCCCAGGGTTCACCCGGGACCACAGCCACTGCCGGCGACCAGAGCTGTCCGTTCCGACTGCGCTGCGCGGGGCTGGCGCGCTCTGGCTGCTCTCCCCCGCCCTCTTGGCTTTTTATAGTTTTCCACAGTGGGTTTTCCTCCGCCCCCAATCCAAGAGTGACAAAGAGTGAAAACGCTGCGCTACCCCCGTGCTCTAACCCCCCCTTCTCCTGTCTCTCCTTCCGTGGCTTTCCCTCCCCGCCCTGCCGACCTCCTCCACCCCACAACTGGAGAAAATAGAATTCGCTCCCCGAGGAACTTGGGGTTCCCTGCGCTGACCGCAGCAGATGGGCTCTGGAAACAGGCGGAAGGTACATTTGGGCATGGAAAGGGACGAACTGTCTCCCGGCACGGTGACCTGACCACTCGCTGTGGTCCTCCCAGCCACCCCGACCTGGGAAGGATTAGGAGCAGGCAACATCTGTGCGCGCTCCGATGCGACTATGGCCTGAGCCTCCCAGGTGCGGGCGGCTGGGCCCATCGAGGTGTCCGAGGTGCTCAGCGTGGATTTTTTAGTGTCCCCTTCCGCGCCCCCAGCTCTGCCACACGAGCAGTGTTCCTCTGTGTCTACGGGACTGGGAAGGCGGAGCCGGTGCCCCAGCCCTGGGTACCTCCGAGATGTGGCGCGCACAACTCCTCCGGACTCCTCTCCGCGCCGCGGTCGCCCTCTGCAGAGAGGAAACCCCGGGCAGGATTGAAGGGCTGGGGTCCGGAGCTAAGCGCGCAGGAGGCGTTGAGGTCCTGCAGTCCTGGGCACCCTGCCTGCGCGCCCCTGGCAACTCCAAAGAAAGCGGTTCCCGGCTCGGAGCTGGCCCCTTCACGTCTTCCAGGCGCCGCGCAGCGAGAGGCTCTGGGACGCTAGGCGCTCGGGGGCGC